TCTATCTATCTATCTATCTATCTATCTATCTATCTATCTATCTATCTATCTATCTATCTATCTATCTATCTATCTATCTATCTATCTATCTATCTATCTATCTATCTATCTATCTATCTATCTATCTATCTATCTATCTATCTATCTATCTATCTATCTATCTATCTATCTATCTATCTATCTATCTATCTATCTATCTATCTATCTATCTATCTATCTATCTATCTATCTATCTATCTATCTATCTATCTATCTATCTATCTATCTATCTATCTATCTATCTATCTATCTATCTATCTATCTATCTATCTATCTATCTATCTATCTATCTATCTATCTATCTATCTATCTATCTATCTATCTATCTAACTAACTATCTATCTATCTATCTATATATATATATATATATATATATATATATATATATATATATATATATATATATATATATATATATAATTCTTTCAATTGTTTAAAAGTGTAAATGTTTGCACCTTGACTTTTTTTGTTATTTAATTATATCAAAATAAAAGCTGTTACGTCTATATTTTAGTTTGATCATTAGCTGCATTCTCACTGTCGAGCCAGTGTGAGCTAGGGCTTTTCTTGGGCCGGGCCGGGCTAATTGCTAATTGAGCAGTGAGGCCGAAATCATGTCGCATTTCCACTGTCGGGCTTGTAGCTCACAGCGCATCATGCAAACCCCGCCCCAGAACATCATATCATTCATCATATTCATTTACTCGTTGACCGACTGTTAGCATCATGCATTAAGTGGTCTCGCCACTAACGGAGGGACCCAGCGCAGTGAGCGCACCCATCCATAATATAACTCGATATGAAATGTATTTTATAACATCCTCGTTTTGATAGATGCCCTCAAACATTCAGCCCAAATGCTTGGGAGACACCTTAACATATAATTTTTTTCCTAGGCTATACACTTCATATAATTCCCCTTTATTTATTTATGTTGCATTATTCTGTGATTTTAAGTAAAGGAAAGTGTTAAGTATTTCAGCACTCAAGAGCAAGTAATAAAATATAGCCTATTTCGTTGCGCTCAGCAGCTTTTCACTGATAAAGCTCTACATATAAAAACAAACAATACAATACAATAAAAACAAACACTTGTTTGAGGACACACAACACATTTTGCATTTGCAGTTTTCCACGATGCGTTTGTAAGAGGCTCTGCGCAGGACTGGATGACAGAATAAAAGATAGCATAGTTTCTGCTTTCACTCACCCCAAAAAATGCATTTTGGATGATTTGATTAATATCATCGTATCCCAATACTTTATAAATAATATTTTAATCCTCCTCCGGTGTTTATTGTTTTTAGAAAATATCTAAGGTATTTTTTTCAGAGAGGCCTTTGTAAAATGAAAGTTTAATATGGCTTTAAAACGGCTTGACCTAAATTGTTATAGCTAGCTTTTGTTTGTTTTATATTGGTTTATTTATTTAATGTGATTTTATTATATCTGATATTTGTAATTCCTTAAAATATTTCAATATAGCTTAGGCTATTTTATTAAAATATGACACTATTGTTTTGAGCCTACATAAGTGGACACTTCGTTTGTAAAGTTTTATATCTTTCTGTTGTATTCATATTGTGTATTATCCAAAATTTAAAAAAAAAAAAGAAAGAAGCTGCTCGCGGAATCAACAGAGCTGTGAAGGGAGCGCTCTTTTGCTCAGTCTCACATTCACATACAGGCATCTAACACACACGTATCACGCACAAACACACCTTTTAAACTTGACAAAAACTCTCGACAACCTTTACTGGCTGCTGTGTCTTTAATATGGTGTAAAGATTATTATGCCCTAATGAATCATCAAGGACGCAGCAAAAAATGTCACTTAATTGTTTTATGCAACAGTCTTACATTTGAAAGGTAAACATAAGGGCGGTCATAAACAAAAAGACCCCAGCCTATAAGGCTATCTGTTTTCTTTCCCTTATTTATTTATTTGTTTGGCGCATATACTCGTGTGCAATCGGAATGCTAGTGTAATGACGGCAAGCCATCTTTACCAGATTTGGGCAAAGTCCGCCTCTCCTTTCACTCTGCCCCGAAGCCCCAGCTGGCCCTCTTTGGCCCAAGGTATTGGGCCGGCCGAAAAAGGCTGGCCGCTGGCCCAGAGAAAGCCCCGCTTTGGCCCGATCAGGCCCTGAAAGTGACAGTGAAAAGGCGACAGGCCTTGGCTTGCCCTGGCTCGCTCGCTTTAGGCACGATAGTGGAAACGTGGCTATTGATATTGTAGCGAATTAGCTCAAGGTTAAACTTCCCGCGCATTCTTCACCATAATAATGTAGTGAATTATTATTTAGATTCAACTGCTTGTATATTCTGCACCATTATATGTAGTGGATTAGCTCAAAGGGAAGAAGATTCATTTGAACGGGGCTTCAAAAGAATCGACTCTTTAAATCTGAACAAACGAATCGTCCAGCTATCGTTAGAACAGACAGTTGACTTTAATTACGGCTATTGCTATCAAAATAAAAACCCATTTATGTTTAAGCAGGCTATCAAGATCGAAGTTTATGACATTAGATTCATAAATATGAACAGGCACCTTTCTTTATACAAAGTTAAACTTTATGGACTAATCTAAACAGAAACTAACACCTAACACAAACACATTCATACAAGTGTAGAGAAGAGTAAGGAAAGTAAAGTAAGAGGTTGAGAGAATGTAACGATGGAAAACCTCAGATTTTGTAAGACCAAACCAAGTGAACCAAAAATAATCAACTTAACCCTTTTATTGTCTTTTTAGGGTTGCATTTAGCTCACACCAGTTGAGATAAAAGTTGTTACTTGCATTCCTTCGTGATGTGAAGAACCTCCCTTTGTTGAGCACGTGGCTGGCTGGTTGTTCTTTGTCCTTGCGAGGCTTGGAGTGGGGTGGAGCTGGTCGTTTCAAGTTGAAGCGGCAACGGGCCAGTCGTGATGACTACTGGTTTGCAGGGCACTAAACTTAACTAGACTCTCAATAGAAAAGAAAGAAAAGAAGGTATCAGGGATGGGAATGTCTGAGCTGTGCGATTAACCCATTTCGTCTGGGTCCCCGCCTGCTCCCTGGAGTCCTCTGAGTTCAAGCCTTTCTCTGGCCTGAGGTTTCTGGGTCTCAGGGGTTTCTGCTTACTTGGAGGTTTCTCAGCTTAGATCTCTTTCTTTGTCTTAGGTTTCTTTTTTTGTCTTAGTCTCAGGGCGGTGGCCTTGGGCACAAGCTTTAAAAGGATGGTTTGTAACCTCCCTCAACGCCCAAGTTGACCAATCATAAACTAACTTCCCTGTGAGATATTTTTATGGCTCCTTATCTAATGTGATGGCCTGTCATATGGCCACACAAGATTGAGGGTAACACACACACTCACACACACACACGCACACACACACACTGTGTCCTCGTGCCTTACCGCTGGGCTATCTCATATGGTGTCAAAACGTGGATTTTAATAGAGAACACAGTTTTTTTTTTGTTTGTTTCCTTCTCTATAGCCTCAGTACATTGATTTGCCATGAGCCGTCAGCAAAAGAAGGGGCCCATGAAGCCAGTTTTTGTGGAGCAAGAGGAGGAGCAAGAAAGGCCTGCAGAGGAGGAAATGGAGCTCAAGGATAAAGATGAGATGGCAAGTAGAGAGCCAACCTTGGCTGATTTAACCAGTTTGTTCAGTGCTCATATGGCAAAAATGGATTCCAGGGAGGCGGTCAGAAAGCAGGAGCACATGGATCAAGAATGACGGTATAAAGCATTACAACATCAGTTCAGTTTACTACAAATAGAAGTACAGGCCCTCACCTCGCCTACATCTGATGCCTGCCACATTGATACACATTCTCTAGATGTGCATGGTGCTTAAGCAGATTCTGATAATCAGCAGTTAACCTCCTCAAATGTCTTCCACTCCAATGTTGACCTTATTGAAGATCGCTCCCCACCACCAAGATTCCGTGAACCTCGATTAGAGAAGTTGGCTGATTCTGATGAAATAGAGCACTTCTTAATAACTTTTGAATGAATCGCTACAGCCTATTGCTGGCCTAAAGCTGACTGGGCATTTCATTTGATCCCTTTATTAAGTGGCAGGACAAGAGCTGCATATGTCCATATGGACCTGGATGACTTTTCCGAGTATGATAAAGTTAAAGCCGCCATCTTGGTAAAGTATGATATAAATGCTGAAACCTATAGATTAAGATTTCACTCCCTCACTGTTCTTCCTTCTGAGGCTCCCAAGGAACTGTATACCAGACTTAAAGACCTGTATGGAAAGTGGATTAAGCCTAAAGGAAAAACTACTGAAGAGGTAGGAGAAACTTTAGAACAATTTCTACTTTCTCCTAAACTTCAGGTCTGGATAAAGGAGTGTGACCTCACGACGGCAGCAGAAGCTGCTGCATTAGCAGATGTCTTTGTGGCAGCAAAAGGGAAGAATCAGTCCTGGGGGGTGCGAAGGCCTGTGGGAAGGCCACCCTTTTCTCAGTTTCCATGGCTGGATTGGGTAAGACTCCTCAGGGAGGTTCCCCAGAAATGAAACCTGAAATGGCTCTGAAAAGACCAGTGGTCTGCTTTCTCTGTGGACAGGAGGGGCACACAAAACCAACTTGCCCAAGAAATTTCGTTAAACCGACTAATCTGTGTTATGTTCCTAGAGGTGGGGCGGATAAAGCCCAGAAACCAAATTGATTGCTGCATACCACCACTGTGAAAGTCAACGGTAAAGAGTTTCCTGCTCTGATTGATACTGGGAGTGACCAGACACTGGTGAGTCGGAAGGTTGTGGCTCCATCTACACACACACACACACACACACACACACACACACACACACACACATACACGCACATTCGCTTAGACCAAAACAATACTCTCCTGCTCCTTCACTAACTGACACGCACACCTTGCTCGAAACTACACACATACAAACAGGCATCGCATCCATAAGCACTTTAGGTAATAGAGACTGACAACTTTCCTTTGTTTCATATCTTTATTTATAAAACAAGCTCTAAATATTACATGTCACAATTTCTTTCGGTTTCGGTACACAGACAAAAAAAAAATCAGGATTGAGGATTTACAATTAGATGTTTTGTCTTAAGATAAATTTCAACATGCAAGTAGAGCTGCACCCCTGATAAAAACTCTCTCTTTCTTGTAATTGTCTAGTTATGCAGATATTGCTTATGTGTTTGATCAATTCAGGAGCTAAATTCTTAGATGCATATCTTTGCTCTGTTGTGACAGATACTCAAAAAAAATGAAGAAAAATAAAATCACGATTATTACATATAAACTCGGTGTAATCTTCGGATGTTACGATCTCCTCACTGTGTTTTAATATTCTTGCGTTCTTGTTTAACAAGATCCATAAACCATGAAGTCTAAAACCCTGACTTTGAATCTTGTTGCTTGATAGCTGCTAAATAGATTGATTTAATGCCACATTGACCACTGATTCACTGTTACAGGTGGCTTTACAGGCAAATCCTGAGATACAGATGGAGATAATGAACTGAAGGATGGAGAAGATCAGCAAAATTCCAAAAATCCCCTGACGAAATTCCTAGGTTAAAAGTAAGTTAAAACATCAGTTAATAGCTGAATAATAATTGGATCCATATTAAAACAAAAGCTCACACATTGTACAATTATTACTTACACAGATCCCAACATTTCCATAGTAAGAAGAATAGTCACATGAAGGAGAGATCAGTAGACCAAAGTCTATGCCTAGCAGAATAATGGCTATTCCTGAAGTAACGGTACTGAACACATTCATTCCAAGAGACGCTTTCACCTACATAGAGAAAAAAAAAAATTTTAAATGACAGAAATTGCAACTAAATTGTCCTACACCTTTTTTTTTTTTTACCAATGTAACAATAAATGTGATGTTTATCTGTTAGTGGTAAAATCATTAATGTCACTTAAGCAGCTGGGATAAATTCGGAGAAGCATCAGCTACACACTTTATTGCTCACTGGCTGTACACTTTAAGGAAAAACTGAACCAAATCAGGGTTTTTTGACATAACAGCAGAGCTCTTTTGATGCTAAACAGAACTCTTTCATAAAAGGCTTGATCAAGAGCAATGTTGTAAATTGTTATGTATTTGGGTTCAAAATTTTAAAGTAGAAATATAAAAAGGTTTGTTCTCATTACTTTAGTCAAATTTGAACTTGCAGTAAAACATGACAGGTCTTGCTAATTGGCCCAACTTGACCTGGATATCAGAACTCTCCCTCCTCATGACGGCCCCCCTGGCAGATCTCTTTGAGGGAAGACCTTCTCTCTCAGGGACAGGGCACCATCTGGCACCCTCGCCCAGATCTCTGGAACCTCCATGTGTTGTCCATAAACACAGTGAGAAAGACTTAGTTAACCTATCGATGGCAGTGGTTAATAATATCACTCAGGCTAGAGCCCTCTACAAGGCATGCCTACGCCCTGAAGTGGAGTCTATTCACTGAGTGGTGCGCTTCTCACCAAGAAGACCCCCGAACTTGCCAGATCAGCGTTGTGCTTTCTTTCGTTCAGAATAAGTTGGAGCGGAGGCTGTCACCCTCCACATTGAAGGTTTACGTGGCTGCCATTTTCGCTCATCATGACACGGTGGATGGCCATCCACCGTGGGAAGCCATAACCTCATCATCCGGTTCCTTAGAGGCGTGAGGCGATTAAATGCACTCGGAGCGTCACATCCTCTTGGGCGCGAGCACGCGGTGCCTTTCTATTAGACATCTGTAGAGCTGCGGGCGAACCCTGCAGAGATTCCTCCATGGCCCCTAGTATCTGACTCAGCGGAGGAGTCAGTTGTTGACCTGTTACAATGTTGGCATACCCGCTGGTTAACCCGCGTTCTGGATATAGGTGCCTGCTTTGTGCGATCCTTACTGGCAATCCCATACGCTTCACTCAGCTACGGTTTAGTCCCTCTTCTTAGGCGGGCTTAAGTCTTTTCTCCCCGCTAACCAGCCTTCATATGTGTACTCCCCCTTCTCAGGGTTAGTCTATATGTCTTCTTGCCACCAAATCTCCCCTTCTGGGCAGCAGGTGGCCTCCACAGTGTTTTCCCTATCGGGACTGCACGCTTTCCCAATGTAATGTCGTATCTCAAATTCCTAGAATTAAGTGCACTAGGTGTATTTTTACGACTTCCCAAAAAATATATCTAAACCTTTGAGGTAAGTGAGGTAAGTTAGGGCCAGGGGGCACGTTGGAAGGCTACGCCTCTGGTGATGTGAGTGCGCACACGCTTAATCTGGCAAACCTCTCACCAGTGATGTGGTAAGGCTCATTTGCTGTGGCGTTTTCCATACATTTCCCCATTGTGGATGTTTCCACATAGCATTGAATTTCCCGTCCCACTGGGGAACGAAACAGTTACTGAAGTAACCCTTGTTCCTCGAGAGGGGCAACGGAAATGCTATGTTCCTTCGTTACAGCAATTGCCCATTAGCTGTTAGCTGTAGAAGGCTCTTCAGCTAAAAAAGGTGAATCAGTAATGCACAGCTGGCATCTTTATACAACATTAATTAACATTGCTGTCAGCTGTACATGTGGACGGCGCCAACTCATTGACATTTCATTGGCTCGTTTTATTACTCCTTCAGATGATTGGCTTCTGACAAAATCTCCATAGTGGAAGTTTCCAGATAACATTACAAATGAACAGGCATTTAAAGAAAGCAATCTTTTGCCTGTTGAGCGAGTGTTGAAAGTCAGTGTTGTTGGATAGTAGAATGCCAGAAAAAATAAGGAGGTCCTGTGACAGTTACAGATTTGAAATCAAATAAATGAAAAATAAAACCCCTTAATAAAATAAATTTTGCTGTGTATTTTTGCAAAAACAAATGTACTTTTTCCTCTTGACTGAGGAGAATTTTTTTTGGATTGAAGAAGGTTGTAAATAGTGTTTTTTAATTAATAAATTTTTTTTTGAAAAACCTTGAATTAAAGATTACTTAAAACTATTAAACAGCACTCCATCTTGTACTAAGTCAATTTCGAAAAACGTACCAAATTTTGGCTACTTTATACTAGCTAGAACACTGAAGTAAATCAGAGTTTACCATGGAAATGACTAAAATACTACAGAGATTATACATTTTATTTTTAAAAAGGTTAATTACCTAATATGTAAAATAATCAAAAATTATTTATCAGGGATCATCATAGAGGAAAGAACCACAACTAATCTGGCATATGTTTTAAGCAGCGGATACTCTTTCAAAACATGGGGAGAACATGCAAACTCCACACAGAATGCCAACTGGCCCAGCCAGGACTCAAATCAGTGACCTCTTTGCTGTGAGGCAACAGTGCTAACCACTGAGCCAATGTGCTACAATGGAAAGAAACAGTGCTTAATAAAAAAAATAAACAAAAACAAAATAAAATAGAAACTTAAACATAAGATAAGTAAATTTTGATCTGAAATCTTTCAAATTATCTAAAGTTAAAACCACTGTTCAATGTTTGATAGCTTGCAATGTTTTAAATTGCATAAAAATGTCTTTAATGATGTAAATGAGTGGTGTAAAGTAAAAGACAATGTGACAGAAGAAGAGCAGTCAGCCACATTATATGTACAGTACATACCACACACAGATGAAGATGATTCTGTGCAACAACAGACAGAGATCCAGCACTGATGTACTGAAAGAAACAGAACATGTCAAAAACCATTCTGTAAATAAACAATCATTGGCAATAGAGCGAAACAATGATAAAAGCTTACAATGAAAGATCCCCAGTAGGTGATTCCACTAAAGACCACAATTGCAGGTTGATAGCGCACATTGAAGGTGAGTACAGTACCAAGTAAGAAGACTATTACTCCAATCATTATCTGGACAGTCTAGATAGCAGATAAAGATCATTTCTCATGATGACATAATACAGCACCAAACCTTACAGAAAAACCCAGCATGTGCAATCATGTTAAAATCACATCAATTATGTGAACTATGTGAAACAGATGGTTTATGCAGTTTATTTGTGTATAATTCTAAGCGGGCTTTTAGCAGTTGGGTTAGTTACTTTCGTGTGTATAAAAGGTAGCTTTATTACACTTGCATTTTGTGAGTTAATAATACAGAAAGTAACTCTACAAGTTAAGATTCCACTAATCTTGTCAGTGGTAATGCAAGGACACCATTCCATAATAAGCATTACCAAAAGGGCAGAGTAACCTAAAAATCTGACACTAATGCTTAACCAAAAACTCAGTGTTAATATTTGATATCTAGAAGGAATGAAATGCTAAGCATAATCCCAGAACCATACACCATTGTAATTCATTCTTAAATGCGTTACCCCCAGTGCCTTTGGTTGTGATTTGAAAAATCCTTGAAGAGGCGTATTGGCCTCCTGTCCGTCATCACTACTAAGTTGTGTCACTTGTGGATTTATTTGGATGACGACTGTCGCTTTTTCAGTGGAGATGATCTTGCTGCTTTCCATTCTAAGAGCAATCTCACCTGTATTTAAAATGCAATTTAATACAACAGACATTTTGATAGTATGATTTAATATGCTTATTATTACACATTTCCAAGGCATTTAATAATACATCTGTTTAGTTTAGTTTTTTTTTAATAGCTCAAATGTTGTCACTGTGATACTCAAAATCTTTACATTTCCTGACGTAAATAGTAATTGTAAATACATGCTGAATTTTAATTAACATGCTTATTGATACTTACTGAGATTTGAGATGTTGATGTTTTTAAAGCTAGAATATTATTTCTGCAGCCTTATTTCTAAACAGATGTCAAAAATTTTAATAGAATCTTTATGTAATTATATTTGTGCCAAAAAAGTAGCTTTTACAAAAAAAACATAAACAATGCACCATTACAAAATAAGAAAAAAAAAAAACGTTTTAATTACAGTCTCAAAAAATGTAACATGCTCTACCAACAATCTAAAATTTTATTTAGTTCCCTCCTTACAAATTCAGAAAAAAGTCTAGCAAAGGGAATCATTCTATGGTGGTTTTGCCAAATTTACTCAAGAACAAGGTTCATTTCACCATGTTTGTTAGATCATTTGAAATGATCTAATAGATTTCCTGCATTAAATCGCCACTGAAAGTATTCAGCCTCATACTGAATTTAAGTAAACTCTTAAACAGAGAACAATTGCAATTTTTCAAAAACCAAATGGCATCAAATGCTAAATGTCGTATTGTTTTAATAAAAACCCAGGAGAGCAACATACATTCAAAAACTGTAAGGTGTATACTACTCGATTTTAATGTACACATATTAATTATTTTATATGTAATACAATCAACTTCAATTGTAAGGTCAAAAACTTTTGAAAAAAAAAAAGCCTTCAAATGTTACACATGATAGTTTTAAAGTTCAATAGCTCTATATAAGAATGACTGACAATCACAAAACCCACTGCAAAGTGTTCATGTAGTTCTCAATTATAATGTACATCCTTTAGTTTTTTTTTATTACAGTAAACTGCAAATCAGAGGGCAAATTGCAATGTTTTCATAACCGAATAGACTGGGTTTTATAATTTTGATTGAAGTCACTCTCATATAAAGCTATTGTAAGTCTTGTAAGTCATTCTTATATAAAGCTATTGAATTTTAAAATTATGATATTTAGCATCTGAAAAAAAAACATTATTGAGAGAGCAAGTTACAAATTTGTTTTGAGCGTTTTTCTTATTTTGTAATGTGGATTTTTGTAAAAGATAAAAAATTAAATATATACATATACACCCTCTGAGCTTTGAACATTATACATATCATAAAAAGCTAAATGATAATTAAAAAAAGCATGAAATATTTTACCTGAAATGAAATGAGTTGAAGTTGTGGATGTCTGATGCTCTTCTGGTGTTTGTTTGTGTTTGTGGAACCTTAAGGAGGAGCTTGTATCAGATGAGCTCACTTTATACTGTTATTGGTTGTGTTCTCCAGGGTTAAAAATCCTATACAGTAGGTGCATTTCTAGCTATTTTTTTTTTTTAATTACTGTATGATTTTGGGAATTATACTTACTGCCCTTTAGAAGCTAATGCTTACATGCTGTTTTGCATGTTGTTGAAAAAAATGCTTCACTTATATATAAATAACACAAATTACATGATAACATGAAAGTTATGCAGTTCTGATTGCATCATATTGCCTTCTTAAATATATTTTCCTTAATAAATAATAAATGCATTTTGTTGAAACTATTGCACAAGTTATTCGGCTTGATTAATTCTTAAAATCTTAAAATCTTGATTAATCTTAAAATCTAAAAACTGCTTTTAGGGCTTGTACAGAATATTTTGTCATTTGTTCTGATATACATTTTAAAAATAACCTTTTCGACCTAGAAACAGAATTGAGGCAGTTGGTTTTGCAAATACTGTGAGCAGATGTAGAGGATGTATTGACCACATTCATTCCACTGCAGGTTTTTTTCCACCCACAAGGAAAGATTCTTATTTTTTAAACTAAATATTGTTTTTACTGCAACTGACAGTGATTTTTTGATTCAAGACATTAAAAATATGCTTATAGAAATTTTAAAAATCAGAAGTTGACAGTTTAAGTAGTAACATGATAAAGTCTAATTGAAGTTTATGAGATGCACTCACTAATACAGTATACTGAAACAAACATTTGTGTGTGTGTGTGTGTGTGTGTGTGTGTGTGTGTGTGTGTGTGTGTGTGTGTGTGTGTGTGTGTTTGAACAAGAACAAATACCATTGTGGTAAATGAGGGCTTACCATGGAAAGTATTGCAGTGTATTTATTTTCCGTTTCTGCAAAAATGCATCAGTGGTTTTACATTAAAAGCTGTAAAAAAAAAAGTGCATTTAACCCATCAAATGGCGCACACAGTCATAGTTAGATATAGAGTCATAGTTCATTCCAACGTATTGTTTGTTAAAGGTGCAGTGGGTCAGACACACTTTTTGTTGTGCTGGTTGAAAGTCTCTTCACATTCCAATAGTGATGATTAAAGTAAATGATCTAAATGTTTTTTTTTTTTATTCTGGGTAAGGCATAAAACTAAGAAAATGTTCATCTAATTAAATATTGTTGAACCGACAAATCTCATAATTCTGAGAAGTAGACCAAACTGTCAACAAATGTAGATTTGTACAACTACGCATCTCTGTTCATGCAGATCTGCCATTGGTGCGTGCATGCGGGTCACAGCAGTAAAATCAAATGCTGAATCAAAACTTTTTAAAATACTTAAAAGTTACTTTTGCTTGCTAAAGGAAGGGCGACACCATGACTGAAGTATTTCTTTTAGACAGGTAATGTTCTGCTTTAAAACTGTTTTAGTCACACAAAGCTCATGTAGATTTTGTTGTTATGAATGGGTTACATACACAGAAGTGTCGTTCAGCCACTGAAATCTTCCAGCGAAGGATTGATGTGACTATTTTCAATTTCATATGAGTGTATTTTTAAGGCTTGGTTGTGTTTATAAGATGCAAAGGAATGTGTGCTCATGCTTCACTTGAAGAAAATCACGTTATTTTTTCATATATCTTACGCTGATTATTTACCACTATTCTGCTAACGTGAAAATGACTTCCTAGTTTTCCTAGATTTCCTAGTTCCTCTGAAAGCCCGCCCTAAAGAGGTTTTGATTGGTTAGCTAAAATAATGTGCTGTGATTTGCTTTGTTTTATACTCTTTTAAATCGATCGATAGAAGTGGAAGATGATTTTTTTTTAATATTGAGAGTGAGGACAATCAAATACGACGTGGATGTAAACACTTCGGCTCCAGGAAGGGCGTTGTTTTTTCGCTTTTTTATCGGCCATGGCTTCACTGTCCAAGGAAACAACATCGCATCAGACAAATGCAAAGGAATTTAAGTGACCGAGTGATTATAATGATGTGTCTGCTGTTATCAGGAGATATCCATCAGTGTCCTGGGCCTGCTTTATTGGATTTTGAAGGAAATTTTTCGAGTGATTCTAATGTGAAGCTCCGAGATTCGAATGATGTGTGGAACAGGTGTTCGGAAACCACAGCGGATTGGAGCTCTATATCTGACCGATGGAGAGATTTGCTTCCCTGTTTTTTAACAAGAGAAGTAAAACGCATGGATAAGGGTTCGGTGGAGATGTTTTCTACTTCTATGGAAGTAGATGGAACGCTGAGGACACTGAGGCCTGAAGTTGGGTCAACAGAAGGCGTCTTATTAAGGGATCTAACGAATGCAAAGATAAGTAATTTAAGAGACATTGGTACTTTAAAGGGGTTACATATGGTTCATCTTAACATGAGAAAAGCTGCTTCCAAAGATAAGAAAAGTGAGACATTTGAGTCAGGAATCCAATGTATCTCTGTTTGGCTGCAGTGAAACATGCCTGATTCAATATCGGGTGCAGAGATACATATAATAAACTACAATTTGATTCAAAGGGACAGAAATCGTAAAGGTGGAAGAGTATGTGTATATATTAGATCGGGCGCAGGCCCGGATTGGCAAATCGGGAGGACCGGGAGAATTCCCGGTGACCCAGTCCATTTTTTTGGCCGCGAGGGCCGGTGTCCCTGGTTGCTTGCACTCTTGCACTTTTTTCCTTTATGTATTTATTTGACCATAACCCTTTATTTATTTTCTCGCAACCCTTGTGGCAAAATTCAATCTGCAGGTTAATATTGGTGTAACTATCATACGACCCCAAACAGTGGCACTTTAAAGAAAAAAAGAATTCGATTAATTAATATTAATAAATATAACACATGCTTACTGAAGATCAGATGATTAGAAATTAAAAAAGGGGAAAACAAGACGTAGCCAGTCTGGTCCAGAGGTCAGCTTCTGTGTTACGACGCCACCGACCTGGGTTTGAATCTCACCAAATTTTATTTATTTATTTAAATTTTTAGTGTTAAGACATATAATACAGTTTGAATTACTTATGTAGGTGTAAATATGTTATGTTTTGGGTGACCACTGTTACAAAGGACTGGATATCATTCATTCATTCATTTTCTTGTCGGCTTAGTCCCTTTATTAATCTGGGGTCGCCACAGCAGAATGAAAAGCCAACTTATCCAGCAAGTTTTTACAGCGGATGCCCTTCCAGCCGCAACCCATCTCTGGGAAACATTTACATACACTCATTCACACACACACACACACACTCATACACTACGGACAATTTAGCCTACCCAATTCACCTGTACCGCATATCTTTGGACTGTGGGGGAAACCGTTGCACCCGGAGGAAACACACGCGAACCCAGGGAGAACATGCAAACTCCACACAGCAAAATATGAGGACCCAAAACAACTCTATGGGTGTTAATTTCAACACTTTGAAAGTGTCTCATGGGGTCCACTCAAAACTGAGTTAAATCAACACTTTCAAAAGGGTTGGCACATTGACACCGAAGTAAGGGTTAATTTTAACTCTGGGCAGAGTTAAAAATGTAACTATATTTAACACCGCCTGGTAGTAATTTTTTTACTACAATATGTTGTTATTTTATTCAACTCTCTTGAGTGTAAATATGGTAAAAAGGTCAAATAGACTGTAAATTACAAAAGAAAAAACATTTTATTTGAAAACATTCACCGCTTCAACAATTCATTCAGTTTTTAAAATGCAACAATGTCAAATATGCTTTAAATATTTTATTAGTACAGACAGTATCAACAAAAAAGTCTCAGTCCTTTAGTCCAAACTTGATGTTTCATCAGTGCAATTTGAAAGTTCAATATATCGTCACTCATAGTTTTCTTCTGAACGCATAGTTTTCTTCTGAAATGACATTTTAAACAACTTGGCTTGCAAATCTTTCACTTCTGGTGTTTCCTTGGTCCTCCATATCAAACACAGCAGTTTATGAAGGTATAAATGCTGGAAACTTGTGTGAAAACAAACTTTAGCTAGGAAATCTCATCAAGCATGTCCTGTGAATGAAGTGCTTTCCAGCCACAGGATGACTGTTTTATCCATGATGATGTAGCAGCTGCTGATCGCTCGTCTGGTGGTTCCTGATGCACGGATATACTGTAGGGTGATGCTCATCTAAGAACTCTTCAAGACTCCAGCATGACTAAGAAAAATGTTTGAAAACAAATTGCAATCAAATTCTATGATATATTTAAAAGAACATTTAAAGTAAATAAAACATTCAAGAAATCTAAACTCACCTTTTGAAAATCTTCATGATGATCCACAACTTGACTCTACCAGCTGGTTGAGGTGACAGGATATGGAAAAGTAGAAAAAACACATACATCACTGTTGGATCTCCAAAAACAATTAGGTTAACCACTATGACTAGAACTGGAAAAACAGGCAGCTGTTTGTCCAGAATCCTGAATTTAACACAACACTTGGAGCAAAATTTAGAGGAGCTTAAAATCTTTTATATCATTTAGTGATGCTGACTTCCCCAAAATATTGGCCACAGTGTAAAAAATATTCATAAACTTACAGTTTTATGTAAGTGTGTGCCTGCGTGTGTGTGTGTGTGTGCGTTTCTTTACCAGATTCAACTTCAACTTGTAAGTAATAGTTCACCCACAATACAAAACTTATCACCTTCGTGTCATTTGTTATTCTTGAATGCTCTAATACCCTCTCAGCTTATGTGAAACAAATACAGAACTTTATCAAACATACCTTCATTATTATCACCACATATGACCAAGAAGGTGTGCTTGGTCATTTCACCAACACTGGAAATACACCATCCGTCACCATCACAGGGTCTTGTGTTATTGTATAGAGAACTGTGACTGTTAAAAAACAACAAAACATTAGTATCTAACACATATGCATAACCTTCAGATAAAAAAGAGAGATGAACATCACAAAGTATGCCTCACACTTTTTCACATATCTT